CCGCAGATTTACTACGATTTCTAGAAACATCCTTGCAGGTGTGTTGAGGCAAGTTGGAGCTAAAATCTGCAGAACACCAAGTCCTGTGACTGAGGCCCCGTTTACACGTTTAAAACGGCATTTTAGCTCAAAAGCGATCCGCATCCACACTAGCGTTTCACCTAGCATTTCTGAACATATCTCCGTCCACACTACGCCACCAAAAACGTATATCACGTGACCATTGGCGCACTCTGGGCATGCATGTTTGAGTATAAACAGGAAGCATGTGTCTCGCTCGGCATTTGGTTATTGTTAGTCAACAAACGCCGGTTGAATAATGAACGCGATGGCAAAGAAAGCAAGAGAGGTATTTTGTGGACAGACGACGAGGTCGAGTTGTTACTAAACGTAACCAATTGAATAACTGCACAATGGCGCCTAAAACAGACAATAGTGCAAACTGTGTCTGTGTCCATGTTGTTGTTTACAGTGAAGGCTGGTCTGCTGTCTCCCGGTAGCGTTAAAGCCATGTGTTATAGTCATGTGATAGGGGGTTGACCAATAAGGGAAGAATACGCAATGACACAAACGCCCCAATCAGCTAGCGAATCTCAGCAGCCCCGCCTCCGTTTTCAGATGTCTCCGTTTTCCCTCATCCACACTGAGACAGAGCAGCAGCGCTTCAGAATGAAAACGGCCTCTCCAGCGTTTCCAAAACGCTCCGTTTTCAGCGCTCGAAAACTCCGGCGTAGTGTGGATGGATGACATAACCGTAGCAAAACTTATGCGTTTTCAAACTAAAACACACTAGTGTAAACGGGGCCTGAGTTTGGACACCCCTGTCATAGAGTACAAACTTTGAGAGTGGTGAGGTAGACTGTAAATGTCATCGTAAAATGGCTTTACCATTATTTATGAATGTGTATGTATATATAATATATTGAGGCCATCTCTAATACTGCATGATAACTATTGATTATTGTGACAGGCCTAGTCATAGAATAGTCCCGACTCAACATTCTGCGATATGTGACTATTGTGGTAGCGTGCATTGTGATATCGATGCTGAAACTATATATTGTCCATACCATACACATCTAAGAAGTGTTTTCGTGCTCTGTCTGTGTGATTTGGCATGTAAACAAGCCGTGTTTGAGCATACAGCAGCAGCAGCAGCAGCACAAGGCTTTGAGCTGCACAAGTTTCCATGATCAGGTCTCTCCAGGTTAATTATCCATGTCTCCCCGGAGGCTCCCGCACCTCCTCTTCCTCATTTACCTGAAGGGTGCAGGTGGTGTTGTGCTCACTTCACCTCCCCCTCAGCCCTACACGTCTGATTACCCAGCATTCCTGCCATTTCCTGCGCACAGGCTAATGATCCCGAACACCGCTCAGAGATGAAGATCTAATGTGGAGAGCCATTCGCCATCGCTCAGAGATGATTATGATCCAGTAGATTTAGGATCTACAGTTGAAGTCAGAATTATTCGCCCCTGTATATTTTTTACCCCAATTAAATAATGGAAATATTTCTTTAACACATTTCTAATCATAATAGTGTTAATAACTCATCTCTAATAACTGATGTATTTTCTCTTTGTCATGATGACAGTAAATAATATTAGACTAGATATTCTTCAACACACCAGTATTCAGCTTAAAGTCACATGTGAAGGCTTCACTAGGGTTCATTAGGCAAGTCATTGTATAACAGTGGTTTGCAAAGGCACAATCATAACATAAATAAATATATCTTTTTTTTTTATTCTAGTTTTATCGTAACACTAATCGCATATTTGTCCAGTATTGTGCATTGTTACTTTATGCCATTATTTACTTTTGTAAATCGGTGAGCAAGTGGTTCTTTTGATAGTCAGTTATATCGTAAGAAATATCATTATAGCAACACTTAACAACAATAATTGGATATTTTCCCCAAATTGTGCAGTGCTAATTTATACCATTCTTTACTTTAGAAAAATCCACCAAGTGGTTTGACACTTGATTTATATTATTTAGTATATCTAAGCAATAAATAATGCACACTACACAAAAACAAGCACACAAAATCCAAGCCTTTGTTCCTCTCGAAAACTAAAATGGCTTTATAGCGTCATCTAGTGGCCAAACTTTCCACAGATGTCATTCATCATAACATTAGATCCTCCAACATCACTTATGTGTGTGTTTAATAACTTACAAAGGCACAATCATAACATAAATAAATATATATATTTCTCAATTTATAGTTTTATCGTAAGAAATATCCTTATCGCAACATAAATAGTGTATTTTTTCCAGTATTGTGCAGCGCTACTTTATATCATTCTTTAATTTTGTAAATCAGTGAGCAAGCGGTTCTTTTGATAGTCAGTTATATCGTAAGAAATATCATTATTGCAACACACATCAACAATCACATATTTTACACATACCAGGCAGCGCTACTTTACACCGTTCTTTGCTTTTGTAAAATCAACAAAGTAGTTCTTTTGACATTTGATGTGTATTTAGTATATGCAATAATTAGTGCACACTACGCAAAAACAAGCACACCACAGTTAAATATAGCCTTCGTTTCTCTCGAAAACTAAAATGGCTTCATAGCGCCATCTAGTGGCCAAACATTTCCACAGATATTAAGTCATAATTAGATGCTTACAGACATCCATCATCTTCACTTAGGCCTATTAAAGTGTTTATTGACTTGCAAAGGCACAATCATGACATAAATATCTTTTTTTCAATTTCTAGTTTTATCGTAAGAGATATCCTTATCGCAACATTAATCGCGTATT